GATGCTAACACAAAATTATCCTTCAGAATCAGCTTTCCAAGGTGAGAGAACCTTGAAACCATGGGGGTGTTACAGTCAGGCGTGGAGGTGGGACATGAGTAGGACAGCATTAGGAGAGATACAGACTCAGAGTGTATAAACTGATGACATGACCACTCTGTAGTATGGGTAAGGGGAAGGGTTCTGTTGTAGATACGATAGAGAGAACAGGCAGAGGTATTTGGAAGAATCCAGAGCCGAGAGAGAAAGTAATAGATTGAACATGGCCAGAAGATTGAACCAGGCCATGAGAGAAGCAGGATCAGAGCTGTAAGGGTAGGGAGTACAGAGGGAAGAATGCAGGAGAACAGAGGGAGGGGTAGGAGGGAGACAGAGAGAGGAAGGCAAAGATAAGAGAAAGTCAGCCAAAGAGGGAGCATAGCCGAAACAGCAGGGTAATAAGGAGAATGAGTAGCTGGGGAGGGAAGCCCAGAACTGGGTTTAGGGTAGGGAGGAGAGGAGAAAAGCTAGGATGCCACCATGGACTCCGTAACAGTACTTGTGATACTGAGTGAGCCTGGAAGCCAGCAAGTACTTTGGTATGCTAAGGGGCACGACAAATAACTATTTACTTCTTCTGCCAGTGATTAAAAAAAATGGCTTCTTTTGGTAGAGGGGAACCAACTTCACAAGTTCCTGAGGAATACTGGCTTTTGTCTAACCACCAGTATTGTTCTTTTTAAAAATAATATGATGGGATGTCCCGGGCAGCTCGTGGAGCAGCTGCTAGTGGCTGTGGGTCCCCGCAAGATCTCCAGGGTGGCAGCGCCATGCGGCCGGGGGAATCAGGGTCCCTGGGCGAGCAGCAGAGTCAGGCGGCTGGATGCCGTGGACAGCAGAGTAAATGGACATAAGGCTATACATAAAGCTAGACATTTATTACTTAAAGAAAGGGAGACATAGACAAACATAGAGAGAACAAAAACACACACACGCGCGCACACACACGCACACACACGAGAGAGAGGGGGGAAGAGGGAGAGAGAGAGAGAGAGAGAGAGAAGATGGCGGCGAGGGAGGTCCGCAGTGGCTGGGGTGGGCGTGGTTAGTTCTTAAAGTGTCCCAAAGGAATAACATTCCTGGATCCTTTTTATAATAAAAAGTAGGTTAGACATTACAGGTTGAAGGAATTGGGGCGGTGAATTCTCAAGGCTGCTTCCGGCTGATTTGTGGGCGTCGTCTTTGGTGGGGGGGTGAGGGAGATCTGAGAGAAACTGGGTGCTGGTCACATCTTGGCATAGTTGGTCTCTGTTCCTGACAGGACAGGTGTCTGTGGCATGGAAATGTCTGGTGTCCCTTGGACCTGGTTAGGGTATTGGCAGAACAGAGGACAAAGTTAAATTGAGAAAAAAAAATTTAGGACCAGGGAATTGAGAGGTTTGTATCTGACCTGTTTATGATGGGTACTTTAATTTGGTTCCCTGGAACTTATAAGAAAAACAGAAGTTTTATTAAGAACTCCTTGGGTTTGTAAAAACAGAAATTATAATGAAAAGTATTTTTATTTGGTGAGACAATCTGGCAAAACCTCTTAGCTATCAGACTGTCAGAGATCTTTGAGAAGGATAAGATTTTATTTGAGTTATTGATTAAAAAATGACAGAGAACTTACTTGGTTGGCACCCAGAGCTACTCTTTTTGGTCCTCCCTGGTCGCTGAAGGCTGCATTTGACCTTTGTTGTTTAATGTAGAGCCTGCCAGGCTTTTGAAGACCCTGTGGACTAAGAAATCTTTAGGAAGACAGGCCTACCTTGACCCTGGGCAGCTAGACTGTCGATTCCAGTGATTTTGTCCACGTTTGGAGGTCTCCAGTTTAGGTGAAAGGCAGTCTTTGCCCAATGGTCAGCGCTTGGAGGTCGAAGCAAACTGCAGATGGACGTTGGTCTTCTGTCTTCTCGGAGGAAACAGAGTGCTTACTAGGAGCCAACCTGTCTCTTTTTGTTATGAAAAGTTTTTTAAATAATTAAACATTTAAATATCGCATTCCCCAGATCTCTGAGCAGTTGAGGGCTGATTATTAGGTATAGCTGCAGTATAGAATCTGTCTGGAAGATTGGGTTTGAGTTTGACTGTATTGACTCTTAACAGGTAAGATCCATATTTGTAAAAAGACAGACAGAAAGAAAAAAACTGTTTGTAACATTAAGATTAGTGGCAGAACTGACAATGGTAGAAAACAGCTTAAAAGTACATACCAGTTTAAAATATGAGACTTATGATTTTGTAGTCTGAAACGAGATGAAATGAACAATCATTATACACAGAGAGATTGAACAGGAATTAGGCAAAGTGTATGTTTCTGATGGGTCCTATCAGAAAGCACGTCACTATGCAAAACACCTGTAATCAGAGTTAACGAGAACACCGAGGAGGGGGAGAGGAAAGGCAGGACATTCATAAGAATGAGAGAGCTTGGTTGCGTGATCTGGCACTCACTGAATCTAGCGATAAAGTCACCTGACCCCAATGAACATGGTGGCGGCCACGTGTTGTGGCCTGAATGGAAAGCCGCGAGAACTTTAAAAGCCGGTGGCCGCCTGGTTGTTGAATCATGAAAAACCCGCATAAACAGACAATTTAAGGCATATTTAGGCTGGTACGACTTGCTTTCCCAGGTCAAGACCGTGAAAATCCCTCAAAAACCGTGGCATCTCGAGCCTATGGGGAACGGCTCCCCGTTTAGGTGAGATGCAAGCGAACATCCAAAAACATGTACCCAGGTGTCCGATCCAAAAACATGTACCCAGGCGTCCGAGGTGCACATGTGGGATGTTAAAGGCCGAACCGGATCAGCCAATTACGTCTGCGAGAAAGGTAGGAAGGAAGAAAAGACTGAAATAAAGAGGAAGGAGGCTGGGAACCCTGGGTTCCCAGTGCGGAAATGGTGGGAGCTGGCCAGGCCAGCTGTCCCAGTCACGGGCTTAACAGAGGACACAAGCTGTAATGGATGCCAGCGATGGGGCGGAGAAGTACCCCCTGAGCCCAGAAACACCGGGAGGGCCGGTCAATCCCGGGTTAAAAAGGCTCAGATAAGCTGGCTGGAGTGAGGAAACTTACAATTAGAAGCCGGTGTTGTTTGTAGGAATGAGTCCAGGCAGTTGGTGGTGTTGAGGAAGGCCTCGGTCCCCATTCAGTCCCGGAAATTGGAGCTCAGAGACCCGGACGAAAGGTGAAGCTGGAACCCTGGCCCTTGGCGGGTGAATCTCTCGAGTCCCGGCACCAAATATTGTTCTTTTTAAAAATAATATGATGTTGGGATGTCCCGGGCAGCTCGCGGAGCAGCTGCTAGTGGCTGTGGGTCCCCGCAAGATCTCCAGGGTGGCAGCGCCATGCGGCCGGGGGAGTCAGGGTCCCCGGGCGAGCAGCAGAGTCAGGCGGCTGGATGCCGTGGACGGCAGAGTAAATGGACATAAGGCTATACATAAAGCCTGATAAGCCTCTACGCCAAGTCAGACCAAATCAAACTGAATTAGAAAAAGGCCAGGTTTAATGGATACCACATGCCTGGATGGTCTTCCGGCCCCCCAGAGAGGAGATGGGAAAGGAAGACCGGAAAATCACATGTTTGTTTTCTGGGGGGCAGTTTAAATACCCTGTGGGAGTAGTCTTGAACACTTCGGGGGATGTGTTCTCATTTGGCGAGCTTTCTCAGGGGCGGGGTCTGGACTGAGGCAACTCCATCAGCAAAGATGGGTCATTTGATCAAATCAACATCAGTGGAGCTGGAAACGATATCTCCATCCTGGGACGCGTTGCAATCACCTGGCAACCAATGATGATAAATAACCCTTAACAGGAAGAGCAGCTTACTAGCTGAGAGCTGCAGTACCACCTGCCACTCAGTAAGAACAGTGCATTCCCGAAAGTGCTGTGAAAATTGCATGAAGCTGCTCAAGGATCCCGGAAACTGTTCTCCATTGGATAAGGGTTCGAAACTCAGAGAGCAATTATCTGCTTCTGCTGCTCTTCACTGGGCTGGACTAAACTGACCTGACAGGAAGAAAATGGTTTGCAGTTATTCCTAATATTTAATGTGGAGTCTAGGAGCCCAGACTTTGGAGTGAGATGGACTCCCCTTTTCAGGACACACAATCTTGGACAGATTAACATCTCCGAGGCTTAGTTTCCTCAATGCCTGAATGTGCACACTTGAGAATATATTGTAGACTTTTCATTAGGATCATATTAGCCTTGTTCTGTTCACCCAGTAGATACAGCATATAGTAAATGGTTGAACACAGATTTTATTATTGAACAACGATTTCAGAGTCTGTGAACTGTATGCAGAACATAAATATAGTACTATGGGAAGCCCTTTACTCTGTCTTTTAGGTCTCAGCTCAAGTTATCTCTTCTTCAAATGACAGCCTGATTTATTTTCCTGACTCTGGTAATTTCTCCGTTTTTATTGATTTGCAACCTTGGTAATGTTCTGAAATTATTGTTCAATCATTGGTTTAGCTAATATCCATCTCTGCCCCTTGAAAGCAAGCTCCATGGAATCAGAGGTCAGGTTTTCTATTTTAGATTATATTCTTAATGTGAGTGTGTGTATGTGTGTGTGTGTGTCTGTCTGTCTGTCTCTTCCACTATGCGCATGGAACTTAGGCCGTTGTGAGTAACTATCTGTATACTGAAACATCCCACATGCCCAGGGCTCACGTTTTCTGTGTTTCCAACCTCTGTTTCAGAATCCTCACCTATGAAACTTTTGGATTCAAGAGGGAGGAGGAGTTTAGAGGCCTGGGCGGGCTCACCAGTTGCTTCACATTCCACCCACTTCAGTCCGGACCCGCCCCTGTCACTCACGTGGCCCGTGACGGGCCACGCCCCTCCGTAGGTGTGACCCTCAATGTTGTGCCAGCCGCGTGCAGGCGGTGGTTACGTCACACGCACGGTGATCGTGTGCGACCAACGGAAGAGGGGCGTGGCCAGGCGCTAGGGCCCCGCGGACGCCGTGGCCGCCGCCTGAATGGCTTGTTAGGCGGCTTGCGGCGCCGGGCTCTCCGCCGCTCAGGCAGCTGGGCGGCCACTCTGTTTTGAGGTCCTCGCCACCCTTCCACGTCTCCCGGAAGAAGTAGCCGGCAGGTCCGGGAGCAGCCCGCTGCTGTGGCGGCCCGGGTGGGCGACCAAGCAGTGGCCTTGTCTCTCCGCTTCCTCAGGTGAGGCGCGACCAGGCCGCGGTCCGGACGGCTTGGCATGTGGGACCCGGTCTCCGCCTTTCCCGAGTGTCGTCGTGCTCGTCTTCGCCCAGGGCCGAGGAAGGGGACGCCACAGTCCCGTAGGCTCCGGCCACCGAGGCTGACTGTCCTCCACCCCCGGAAACTTAACTTGCTGTGGGGGTGCAGTGGGTCGTGTCATCGCCTGCCGGGCACCCAGGGTTGGTCAGACCGCCGGTCAGACAGCCGTGCCTGACCCCTGACCCTGCCTCTGTGTGACATCTCACCTTTCAAGTTGCTTTGCGCCACCGAAGTTCCCTCTTGGAGTCTGTCACCAGGACAAGAGTCCAGGCCCTAGCTCGGTGACTATAATCCATGTGAAGGTCTCTGGTCGTGTTTTAAAGTCCCGTTAACTTTCAGATGGGAGGCAGGACATTAATTGATACGTTGTCTTTAGGCTTTTTTTTTATTATTATTAGGAGAGTTAATTTTCTCTCACTCATCACCAAATTTTACTTTACTTTGTGTGGAGTTTTATAAGTCGGTCGGAATGCATGTTACGTTAACGTTTTCATTTGACTTCTCATAAACTGAAACACACACCTAATGAGTTTCCTGAAGAATGTGTTTAAACAGTGAACTCACTGACGAGGTTAGATGTGGAGAGGAAGGGGTTAAAAGGTGGGCTTGACACTGAATTGACCTAGATTTCAATGTCTGAGGTGTCATCTAAGCTCTGGAACCTTTCTAAACTATATCCATGTTTGTTTTTTGGAGGACATTGCAGTTTCCCACATACTGTAGCTGAGAAGGTTATTCGTGATGGTGTTTGCACAGCACTTGGCAGATGACTTGCTTCAGTAGAGTTTCCAGGAGTGCCTGTGTAGGCTAGACTCAGGGAATTCATTAGTGAGCAAAACAGAGATTGTGTCTAGCCACCCGCTCCCCTTTCCCCAAGAAGGAGAGACAGATGTTTTTAAAAGCAACAGCTATAATAACCTGAAGCACTGTAAGGCAAAAGAAGGGCGTGCACATGGAATAAAAAGGCTTAGCTTAGATGAAAAGGAAAGATAACTCCGGTGCTATTTTAGTGAAGAAAGCATTAGAGTTAACATTTCCAGGGCAAAGGAATGCTAACTATAGTCATCAATCCTTGTTGACTTTGCAGTTTATACTATAGCATGAAGGCTAATTACTTCATTGCTTTGACCTATGTGGCACCTATAAGTGTCCCAAGGGTGTTGGATAGATACAATCATTTTTAAAAATTTGCACTCAGCTTAACATGCACATGGTAGGTACTAAGTATTTAAATAGTTAAAAATTTACTTGAGACCCCTGTATTCCTATATAAATCACTTTAACAGTCATAATTTTTTAACCATCAGAAGGGGTTCCCCCCCCCACCAAGTTCAGCCCTTTGAAACAAATTTCAGAGAACTGTTTTTATTTGGTTGTAGTGGAATTTTGCTAAGCATGTTCTTTGGTGTTTGAATCCTGTATGGATTTGTTAAGGCATCCATGAAAAAGTGTCCTAGGCTGGATAGATTAGACCATAAAAGTTGATCTTTCTAACTCTTCTAAGTCCAAGATGAAGGTGTTGGCAAGGCTGATTTTGTATATTTACTTATTAATTGTGTGTGTGCTTGAAATTGTGTGTCCAAAGGACAGCTTTCTTGAATTCTCTGTCTTGTTCCCCTAGGGGTTCCAGGGATTGAATTCAGATTGTCAAGATTCAGGGCAAGTACTTTTCCCAGCCCAGATGTCTTGCCTGAGGCTGATTTCTGAGGATTCATTTTTGACTTACAGATGACTATCTTCTAGTTTGGTTTTACCTTCTCTCTCTTTATGACTGTTTGTGTATTCATTTCTTCTAATACAGACATCAGTTTAAATGACATCTTTAAAGACCCCACCTCCATAAAGTCACATTCTGAGGTCTCTAGGTTTGGAGTTAAGTATATGGACTTTTGGGAAACATAACGTAGTCTCTCACTTATGTTTTTGCTGTGTTAAGATTTGTCCTTCATTGAAATAATAAGGAAAATAGTAGTAGTTGTAATAATGATAGCGGAAGTTATTAGAGGGGGTTACTGTATGCCAAGCACCTCAAAAAGTATTTTCCCCTATTGTTTAATTATAAAGCCATTCTGAGCTAGGTATGGTGATGAGTCCCTGTAGCCCCAACTACTTGGGAGTTCAGCTAGAAAGACGGTTTGTTCACGGTAGCTTGGGCAGCACAGCACAAACCCATCACAGAACATTTACAAAAACATTCTGTAAGGAAGTGTACCTACTCTCCTATATTTTCAAGGTAAAGTTTCTCATCTTCTATTAGTAATTTGTTCAAAGTTGCCTGGCTAGTAACAGGCAGGTTAGGATTTCAACCCAGAACTCTTTCCAGGTGATAAACTGATCATATCTTCTTTTTTACATGTTCATCAGTAGGATTATCCTGCTGCCATCATGTCTTGGTTTGCTGATCTTGCTGGAAGGGCAGAAGATCTTCTAAACCGAGTTGATCAAGGGGCTGCAACAGCTCTCAGAAAGGAGAATACCAGCAACATCTTTTATAGCAAAAATACTGACTATCCTGAACTTCACCAGCAAAATACAGATTCAACGTACCAGACTGGACCCAAAGCTAACTATATTTCCTCAGCTGCTGATAACATCCGGCAACAACAAGCCACCGTCATAGCTGGCACAGCAAATGTGAAAGCGGGATCCAGGCCATCCGGAGAGGCCTCCCATCCCACTGAACAGGCATCTGTCCCTAGGCCTTCATCGCAGTTTGTTCGAAGGAAAAAGTCAGAGCCCGATGATGAACTGCTGTTTGATTTTCTTAACAGCTCCCAGAAGGAGCCGACGGGGAGAGTGGAGATCAAGAAAGAGAAGGGCAAAGTGCCCGTCTTTCCAAGCTCTCAGTCCTCAAGTGTCAGTTCTGTGGACACAAGTGTAACCACCACCAAGCCCACTGAAGAGAATCCTGGGAGCCAAAGTCCTGGTAGTTAATCAGCCCTGTTTCTTTCTGCTTATTAGATGTGTCATCCCAAGTTAAAATGTTTGAATAATATTCTTCACCGACTATTGTAGGATCTTTGCCAATGTGTGGTGTAAACAAGGGTGACAACGTTGTCTGCATTGGTCAATCTTTGTTAGAGTAGGGATTGTGAATGTTGTCTGCTGACCTTTGCCATACCTGTGACTGAACTCAGGCTTGCATACACTAGACAGCCATTCTACCACCAGGCTGCATCCCCAGCAGTTTTGCTTGTATTCTGTTTATACCTTCCTATTTCCCATTCTTTTTTATGTTAGATGTTACGTCTTTTTTCCCTTATGAAGCATATGTCTATGTTACTCTAAAAAATACGAACATACTTTTATCACCTTAAAATTTTAGTAGTTCTTGGCCAGGCATGGTATATAAGTCTCATATCCTTGCTACTTGGGAGCCTGAGGCAGGAGGATAACAAGTTCAAGACCTTCCTGGGATACAGAATGAATTAAAATCCAGCCTGGAAAATTCTGTGAGATCCTGTCTAAAAATAAAAACTAATAATTATGGTCTGTGTATAAAACTAAATAGTGCAGCACTTGCTTGGAATGCAGGAAGCCTTGGTGTTCAATCTTAGTACTACAAAGTAGAAAAATAGAATTAGTAATTCATTAATATTGAGTCAATATTCTGATTTCCTGTTTGATCATATTTTTAAGAATTTGGAAGCGGGGTTTAGTGGTACATGCCTTTAGTATTAGCACTTGGGAGGCAGAGGCATGTAGATCACTGAATTTGAGGCCATCCCAAGTCTATTCCAGGACATCCAGGACTACACAGGGAAACCCTATTTCAAAAAAGAAGAAAAAAGGTGTCTTTAAGACTCCAAAGAAGAATTGAGATTCTTTTGCAGTAGGGAGGTTTTGAGATCTTAATACCATTTTTATCTTTAGGCTACCCTATAGTCTTTGTTTTGCAATTTATTTATTGACTAACAAATGTAGATTATTACAAGTTATGTGTAAGTGATAAATACACTCTAAAATTTAATTATAATTTTTATTTTGACTTTGAATTACTTAAAAATTTCCCTTAGTTACAGATATGGAATTTTCCTATTTTTATAATTTTTAACTTAATAACTTTGAAATCAGATAAAATAGCCTGTGAGTTTCAGTTAAGTCGCAAGTATATGTGTGCTTGTGTGCACACACTTTCACATATATGCACATATATCTAAATCCTTGCATTAAATTTGTAAATTATACTTTCAGATCTTTAACCCACTTTTTTTGGACCTAATGAAGAGCTGTCAATATTTTAAAATATTTACGTTTATTTTCTGTAGGTGTGTGGGTGCACTTATGCACAGAAGCACATAGAGATCAAAGGACGGTTTGAAGGATTTGTTTCTCTCCTATATGGGTTCACTGCTATGTAGGTTCTAGGGATTTAATTCAGGTTGTCAGGCTTAGCAGCAAGAGCCTCTTCCTGTTGAGCCTGTAGTCAGATATTTGGGGGAAATGTCTTTCTTTACTTATTTATTTTTTGGTATTTTGAGACAAGATCTAGAGTTTGTCATCATCCTACCTCATCTTCCTAAGTGCTGAGATTACTGGCATGTGCCATAAACCTGGATCTCATTTGTGATACTAGTTTTGAGAACTATTTTAGCCTAGGTTGGCCTTGATCTCATAGATTAGCCTCAATCTTTTTTATTTTGTGAATTTTTTTTTCCAATACAGGGTTTCTTTGTGTAGCCTTGGCTGTCCTGGAACTCACTCTGTAGACCAGGCTGGCCTATAACTCACAGAGATCCGTCTGCCTCTGTCTGGCAAGTACTGGGATTAAAGGCATGCACCACTATCACCTGGCTGGTTAGCCTCAATCTTACGGTGATCATTCTGCCTCAACCTCCCAAGAGGTATGTACCACCTGGATTTCACCTTGTTATTACTTGTCTATCTAACCTCGTGAAAAGTTCCCTTTTGCCCATGAAATTTAAAAAGTAAGTTAAATGTGGGGCTGGAGAAATGACTCAGTGGTGAGAGCACTGACTGCTCTCAGAGCACCTGGGTTGGATTCATAGCACCCACAAGATGGGTCACTACTGTCTGTAACTCTCTTCTGGCTTCCATGGACATAGGGCATTTACAAAGTGTACAGACATACATACAGGTAGATATTTGTACACTTTAAAAATATGAAAGTAAGCGGGGCAGTGGCAGCGCACACCTTTTATCCCAGTACTTGGGAGGCAGAGGCAGGTGATCTCATTGATTTTGAGGCCACCTGGTCTACAGAGTAAATTCCAGGGCAGCCAGGACTACACAGAGATATCCCGTCTTAAAAACAAAAACAAAAAATAAATAAATAAAAGTAAAATAAGTTAAATGTGAATTTGTATCAAAGTTAATTAAAAACAAGATGGATTAAATTCATCTTTTGGAAGGAACTTTTGATTTCGGTTTGGTTATCATAAATTGCTGTGACCTATTGTACTAGTCTTATTGCCTTGAACACTACAGCTGTTCTGTTGTGCCTTTTCAGTGTTTTTAGTGTTGACACTTGTACCCCCTTTTTTCAAAACCGTTTCAGAAATAAGGAAATCAAGTGTTTAAATTATTTTTGGATTTCTCCTTTCCAGAATTGTTTTTATATTATGTTTCTTTTCTTCCAGTGTGTTCAGACATTGAGGATCCTTGCAGGTCTATAGAGTCCATTTGTGAGAATAGATTTTTATTAGGAACTACTGATATTTTTATGGGATCCTAACTGTAGCAACCAACTCACCAAGAGGCATTCCAAAAGCAAGTGAGTGCTGCTTACATAGTGACAGTGCTATTGTACCCAAGTGTGTTCTTGTTTTGCAGAAGTGAATAGTTCTGATTCAGTACCTGAAGGCCACCAGGAATCCTCAAAGGAAAGCACAGCATCTGAGGCCCCCAGCACGGAGCACAGCCAAGCACTCCCTGATGGGAACAGATCACATGAATTGTCTAATCTCCGCCTGGAGAATCAGTTGCTCAGGAATGAAGTCCAGTCTTTAAACCAGGAAATGGCCTCACTACTTCAGAGATCCAAAGAAACTCAAGAAGGTAGAACCAGTTCTTCTATGAGCACAAAACAGAATTTTGGCTAGTTCAGATTTTTAAGACATCATTAAATTAAAAAAAAAAATAGGGGACAGAATGGCAATCTTTCTGTTTCAGCCTAACAAATACTGGGTTTACATGTGTAAATTATTAATTTAAGAACCAGTAGAAACTAGATATTAATAAAATCTAATTATTCACTTTATTTATTCTGGATTTTAAGAACTATTTCATGAACCAAAGTTGGGGTTAAGTGCTAGACTCTAGTAGGCAGGGTCACAGTGTTGCCGCTCCAGGGACCATAAATGAACATGGAATTCTATGTGAACAGTGCCCTCTGAAAACTTGCAGTGACATGACTGCAAGTAGATAATCCCTAATTCTTTAGAAATGATTAATTAAAGAAGAAACATTTGGGACTGGAGAGATGGCTCAGTGGTTAAGAGTATTGGCTGCTCTTCCAGAGGATCCAAGTTCTATTCCCAGAACCGATAGGGTGGGTCACAACCATCTTTAACTCCAGTTCTAGGGGATTTAATGTCCTCTTTTGACTTTCAGGTATACTGGCCATGCATGTGATGCACATACATACGTGCAGACAAAATTCCCATACACATAAACGTAATTCTTTTTAAAAATTAATAGCCAGGTGTGGCACATGCCTTTAATCCTAGCATTCAAGAGGCAGAGGCAGGCAGATCTCTGAGTTTGTTTTACAGAGTGAGTTCCAGGACAGTCAGGGCTATACAGAGAAACCCCACCTTGGGGGAAAAAAAGAAAACAAATAACATGTCTGTGGTGTGATAGTGGCAGAGAGGGTGTGAATACTGTGACTGGCTGAGGAGAGAAGAAAGGATAAAGGAAATGTCTACCCTGGTTCCTAGGGCCAGTGAGAGCATTATGATGAAACAATGGGAAGTTTTATTTAGGCACTGAAGAAGGCAGAATAAGATTATTAAAAAGACTAAAAAAAAAAAAGCTTTGGTTTGCCTGGACTAATATAGACATGAAATGTTTTGAAACTAATGTTTCATGAAACCCTATGAAATTTATTTCAATACTTTTAAAATTGTTTTTGGTGGTAGACTACATATATCACTCTGTGCATATCATAAAAAAGATGTATTCTGTTTTGCTTGAGTACAGAAATTTCATTTTTTCTAGAATTAAATAAGGCAAGGGCAAGAGTTGAAAAATGGAATGTTGACCATTCAAAAAGTGATCGGATAACTCGGGAACTGCGAGCCCAAGTCAATGACCTTACTGAAGCAGTGGCTGCGAAGGATTCCCAGCTGGCTGTGCTCAAAGTGCGTCTGCAGGAGGCTGACCAGCTGCTGAGTTCCCGCACAGAAGCACTAGAAGCCTTGCAGAGTGAGAAGTCACGGTAGGTAGTTTTGCTGGTAAAGAAGGGCAAGCTAGAGTACACGTACACTAAGGTTGTAGTGTTTACAACTTATGAAGTCAGCTTTCTTAGAAATTCACAAGAGGGAAAATTTCTTGTAATGTTGGAAATGTGAGTGATTAAAATGGTTTCGTTTTTTAACCATTGAGATACATTGTTAGAAAATTTGAGAGTATTTGAAAAGCATAGTGCCATCCATTATTTAATTTATGGTATGCACTTATATTTGACCTAAAAATAGAAAAATATTCTGTTCAGAATGTCCTAGATTGGGGCTGGAGAGATGGCTTTAGAGATTAAGAGCACTGGCTGCTCCTACAGAGGACCTGGGTTCAATTCCTAGCCAACCATATGGTAGCTCACATTGTCTGTAATTACAGTTCCAGGGGATCTGACATTCTCACATCGACATACATGCATGCAAAACACCAGTCAATTAAGTAAATAATTAAGAAAAAACAATGTCTTAGGCTACCTTTTTGGTTTGACTAATTCAGATGCTCTAGGAATTATAGCACCTGATTGCTCCCTGTGGAAGTGTGTTCTTTCATGTGATCATTTTCTTTTAGAATAATGCAGGACCACAATGAAGGCAGTAGTCTACAGAACCAAGCTCTGCAAACTCTTCAGGAGAGGCTGCATGAAGCCGATGCCACTCTAAAGAGAGAACAGGAGAGCTACAAACAGATGCAGGTCAGAAGGAGATACTGCATTCTTCTGGTGCCCAGGCAGGGAGTTGCTTCTGCACTTCATAGCACATTCATTCCTCAGCAGAATTCTACCATGCATTTTGTCAAACAGAAGCCTAGATACTTGAAAAAATTATCTTAATCCTTGCTAAATTATTTTTATGTATTAGAGAAAATTAAAATGATTAATGTTCATTAGAGTTGTGCATCTGTCATTGAATTTGGTTGTAACAACCATTGCCAATTCAGTAAATGCCAGCTTGGGTGTCTTTTTTTACTTTCATTTAATCTTGTCTAGTTCTAGTTTAACCTGATTCATTTATTTCAAGAGAAAATTGTACGTACTATTTATATCTCTATTCTTTTTGTTTTGTTTTGGTTTGGTTTTGGTTTTTTGAGACAGGGTTTCTCTGTGTAACAGCCCTAGCTGTCCTGGAACTAGCTCTTGTAGACCAGGCTAGCCTCAAACTCACAGAGATCCACCTGCCTCTGCCTCCCAAGTGCTGGGATTAAAGGTGTGCACCACCACTGTCCGGCTGAGGGATTGTTTTGTTTTTGTTTTTGTTTTTGAGACAGAGTCTCACTATGTAGCCCTGGAAGTCACTAAGGACTTCACTATGTAGACCACGCTGGCCTCAAAAATTGCAGAGGTCCACTTGCTTCTCCCTCCTAAGGGCTGGAATTCAGAGCATTCAACACCATGCCCGGTTTAATGGTTTGTTTTTATAAGACTCAAGGATGAATCTATTGGACAACCAAAGTTTCAAACTCTTACTTTGCATCTGTAAACATTCTAAAATTTGAAAAAAACAGTTCTGAAATACTTCTGGTCATAGGGAACTTTGAATAAGGGGTAAACACCTGTTCAACATGTAGTTCATATTAGAAAATATTAATGAGAGGCCAGGTGGTGGCACTGTAGTCCTAATCCCAGTACTCACGAGGCAGAGGCAGGTGGATCTTTGATTTTGAGACCAGCCTGGTCTGCAGAGCAAGTTCTAGGACAGCTAAGACTACACAGAGAAACCTGTCTTGAAGAAAAATATATATTAGTGAGATATTTTACATCTCTTCTGTCTTCTAAGTTTTTAAAACATGGTGTACTTACTGGGCGGTGGTGGCAAAAATCTTTAATCCTAGCACTTGGGAGACAGAGGCAGGTGGATCCCTGTTAGTTCGAGGCCAGCCTGGTCTACAGGAGCTAGTTCCAAGACAGCTAGGGCTGTTACACAGAGAAACCCTGTCTCAAAAAAACAAACAAACAAACAAAACAAAACCAAAAGAAAAAAACTCCAAACAACAACAAACAAACAAAAACATAGTGTCCTTTATACTTACAGCATATTGCAATTCATTCACTCAGCTATTGAAACTATCTTCAGGGATACTTGGTCTATATTTAGATTCCTTAAAATTTAGTCACATACCTAATTGTTCTAAAAATATTCAAAAGTTTTTCTAAGAACAGGCTGTTCCCCAAGAAGCTAAACATAGAGACTTAGAGTTCCTATGGTTTAGCAGTCTACTTTACATTTCTCCCCAAGAGATTAAAAATGTATGTTTATATAAAGCTTGCTGACTGTGTAGAGCAGTATTCGTATCTGGGCAAAGCTGCAAATACAAATGCCACTTGCTGCTGGGATAAACAACCTGTGACATGTCCATACAAGGAAATCCTGTTAAGGCTATAAAAAATAATGAAGTGGAGGCTGTGGAGAGGCTTTAGTACAGTGTGTGCTTTGCCAGCACAAGGACCTGAGATTGGATTCATGTAAGAAAGGTGGGCATGGTAGCACAAATCTATGACCTCAGTTCTGGGTGAGCAGGAGAGACAAGCAGGTTCCTGGAGCTCTCTGGCCAGCCAGTCTAGCCTTGGTGAGAGAATCTGCTCAAAATTAAATAAAATAAATAGTGGCTTTCACTGATCTGCTGAGGGCTGCTTCACATTTGTGACAATTCTCCTACCTCTGCCTCCCAAGTACTGGAGTTAGGTGTACAGCACCATTTCTGGCACATTTCTTAGAAAACAGATCCCCAGCACCAAAATTGGAAATTCCATTTCGCTAAGCCCCAAAATAGACCTTGTTGCACCTTGAAAAAACTCCTAGTTAACTTTAATGCATTGCTGTGCTTGGTTGCCACAACTTTATATATTTTTATATTCTTTTTCACCTTATTGTTGGTTAGAGCAAATAAATCCCTTAAGATATCTGAATGTATGGATGTAAATATATTTCAAACTAAACAATAGGATAAGTATAGTATAAAATTTACCACAGAGTGAATTCACTGCACGCCTTAATAAAATGGAAGTGGAACGTCAGAATTTGGCAGAAGCGGTTACTCTGGCAGAAAGAAGGTACTCTGAGGAGAAGAAGAAGGTTGATGAGCTCCAGCAGCAAGTCAAGCTCCACAGGTCAAGCTTGGAGTCTTCTAAGCAGGAATTAATTGACTACAAGCAGAAAGCTACACGAATACTCCAGGTAAGCATGAGTGTACACTCTGATGTACCCCTCGCTGGGAGGCACCAGCACCCTAGATACTGTGAAGTGATGTGTTGGCTGTATTGCCCTGCTGCATTTAGGACCCTTTGGAAAGGGTAGAAATTCTGAGCTTACCACTGCCTGATTCACATCTTCAGCTTGCTACCTTTATCTCTTATGATGCTATTGTTGTTAAGCAGCTATGTTATGTCCCTTTGGTGGTTCCTATAAAAACTGCAGACACCAGTGTAGCCTTCAGCTTCTCATCAGAGAACAAATGTGTGCTTTTGCTTTTATTTAAGATGGTCTGTCTGTCTATGCATGTGTTCCATCTACCTGATTCATTTTAGTTGCATACATCTCACTGTTCTTATGTGTGTGAATGCTGCTGCTATGTCCTAGCTCATGAAAGCATGTGGTCACTTAGCTGAAGACTGAGGACTAGATTTTGGGACCCCTCCCAAAGGAGAAGAAAAATTAAGTTGGTTTTATGTTTTTCTTTTTTTTTTTTTTTGAACTGTTCCCTGTTTTGTCTCAATGTCAGATACATCAGAATGGTTAGGACTATACTGTCTTCATTTATTAAGAACTTATTTCCCTTACTCCATTATATAATTTCTATCTATTACATTTCTGAACTTTTTTTCTCTAAAAGGTCCAGAATGACCTGAATGTGTATTTGCTGTTATATTTTGTTGTTGTTTGCGTACACTTTGACTTGGATGACACAGTCAGCTCTCACCTTCTTGAAGATCCAGTCTTCTGTGCAACATAACCACCTTTGCTTCTAGTTTGTCTTCTCTTGTCCTTGTTTCTAGTCCTCTGGGGTCCTCTTCCTAGTCTCCAAAGAGTAAAGGTCCCTTTAAGTCTGTCCTAAATCCTCTCTCCTACCTTGCATTGCTGTCTGCTCACTCTGCTTGTACCTGTTCCCTTATGAGACTTCAAGCATGCCTCTAACCCTCACCTCCTGACCTCAGGTTCTTGCTGCTTGGTTCTTTAAGTGTTGATAGCCTCAACTCCAAACCAGCTTCTTTGTTGTTTTGTCCTGGAAAACATTACTGTCATCTAGCAGTAAAACATGCACACACCCACACACCCACACACACAGTTGTTTACAAAACTTTGTTTATTCATTCTTTTTGATTTAAGGGCACATTCAGGTTAGCAGAATTTTTTTTTTATTTATTTTTTTTTTTTAAAAAATCAAAATAGGAGGCCGAAGAGATGGCTCAGTGGTTAAGGGCAATGGCTGCTCTTCCAAAGATCCTGAGTTCAGTTCCTGGCAACCACATGGTGACTCACAACCACCTATAACGAGATCTGGTGCCCTCTTTTGGCCTGCAGGCATGCATGCAAGCAGAACACTGTATACATAATAAATCTTAAAAAAAATCAAAATAATTTACAGGGTAAAGTCATTGATGCAGTACAGTAGGACTTGGAGAGGAAAAACTTTTATGTACCCAGAGATGCCAGTGTTCACTGACACTATAAAGAGAACTGTGAAGGGTGTGCAGGAAGGCTCACACAGGGTAGAGATTTAGAAAAGAAGCTGTGCCAGAAGCAAGGGTCCCGAGAGAACACAGTATGCCCGAGGAACTAGTGCCAGAGATTAGGTGATGGTGATAAAACCCAGTGCCGGGCTGAAACCAGATTGTGAAGGCCCATTCAGGTTTTATCCTGTAGGTGAGGGGGAGAGGTGCTAAAGAAACTGAGTAGCATTATAAGATTTTAAATTAAGAAGCGTAGCAGCAGTGAAGAACTTAGGTAAGAGTTGGACATCGTCTTGGTCTTCATTGCATCCAAAAGCAATGTCTGGTACTCAATAGATGTAATGGAAGGAGTGAGTGAGATGATGAGAGCAGAGGCAAGTAGATGCTAAGACGTGTTAGGGCCTGATCTAGGTGTGTAGAAGGGAGGATGGCTAATGGGATAGCTACTGGGTAGAAGATAGAATATTTGAGAAAATTAAATTGGAAATTTAATTGGAAGGAAGGGAAAGAAGTTAGATAGAATCTGGAATGACTCAAGGTATCTGTTTGCATGTAAGGATGTTGTTTCTTGTCCTCTGAAAGGAACAAAGAGGGTTAACGGCATATTAGGGTTGAAGGCGATTATGACAAATTATGATGAGCTTAAAAAATTGATATGACATTGACGTGAACGTGTCAGGAAGGTAGTTAGAAATTCAGGCCTAAAGCTCCGCAGAAGGTCTGGGTGTTAGCCACAGGAGATAGCATCAATTAGGGTATAGGTAAAATCAATCGTGAATAGCAGCTTGCGGGGAGAAGGCCTAGGACTAATTATTCATACAATTCTAAACATCAGCATGTACAAATTGGGCAAAGAAAACTCCTAAAAAGAGAGCCACCAGAGTTTGGAGAACCAGGAAGAAGTTGGGCCAGGGGAGAATGCCTAAGGACAATGATGGGCAGTTAGGCAGCTTCTGTAATGTGATGAGAACTAGGTAGAATTCTTGGATTTGACCTGTGGAATCCCTGGGTTTCTCAGAAAGGGGAGATTCAGTGTGCTTTGGGAGATGAAAACAGCAAGATAGTGACAGCTTGACTGGCAACATAATGAAAGGCCAAAGACTGGGTGCAGATGTGAGAGTTATCAGGTCGGGATCTTGTGATTGGATGGGAGGTGGCATATAAATGAAATTGAAAAATAAAGTTTGCAGAAAGAAATGAAAATGCCTACAGTTCCTCCACTTAAAGGGAAAAATTCTTTGAAAGGAGAATAACTTTAAAATTTTGTATTCAAGGTGGAAAAATTGATCTTTACTGGTTGAGAATTGGCACTTTATACGTTGATCTTTATAAGTCTTAGATCTCTTCTTTTTGCTCATCCTTCATGCCAGGGATCCACAGATTTTTCTGTAAAGGACCAAAGTAAATTTGTTTTGTTTTTTGTCAAGACAGAGTTTCTCTGTGTTGCTTTGGAACCTGTCCTGGAACTCAATCTGTAGACCAGGCTAGTCTCGAATTCACAGAGATCTGCCTGCCTCTGCCTCTTGAGTGCTGGGACTAAAGGTATGTACTGCCACTACCTAGTGGCCAGTAAGTATTATATATTCTATGGGCTAAAATGTTTGCCACAGTATATTCTTTGTTTTTATTTCTTATAATCCTATTGAAATGTGAAATACATGGTTAGCTTTTGAGCTATACAGAAACAGGCTGCCAGATTGACCCATGGACCATGATTTGGACACCTGCTATACAATACTTCCCAATCAACCCTCCTGAAATACATCTTGATAACAGCACTCCCCTGCCCACTGTCTGGTAATTTGATTTAGCCTACCAAGTCAAACGAAAATAATTTGATCTCCAGATATGGTGGCATCTGCCTGTTACTCTAGCAGTTAGGAAGCTAAAGTAGAAGAGTTGCCACAAGTTCAAGATCAACCTGGGCTATAGTGCAAGATTCCATTTCAAACAAAACAAAAATAAAAGTTTAGCCTGGCATCCGAAACTGTTACAAATTGACCCAAACTCTGAGCTGCCTCACATAGTGCTTTCCCTCACACTACTGTGCTTTGGGGTTTTCTCTGTTTGTTTTAAAACTTAGCTGTATTTCAATGTCAGTGTAAACGTTGACTTTCAAGTGAAGCCTTCTCTCCTCTTCAGAACTCTGCAGTAATCTGACCATTTCCCCTTGCTTGAGTTCATTGTATTCCTCTACTGGGTGCTTTTAATTTCCTGTTTAGTTTGTGAGGCAGAGGATGCTTTCCAGAAGAGGGCATGGTCTTTAATACAGTGCGAAGCACATCTTAGATGCTACCTAAGCATTAGTTGAGTGGAGTATGATTTGGATAAGAAGAAAATAGTAGAAAAATCTTATGAAACATTTGTACCATAACAAGATTAGGCTATGATTACATAACATAACATAACAGGACAGGTGGTAGCACTCCTTTAATCCCAGCACTTGGGAGGCAGAGGTAGGTGGATCTCGGTGAGTTCAAGGCCAGCCTGATTTACAAATTGAAGTTCCAGGATACCCAGAGCTGTAACAGAGAAACCCTGTCTCAAAAAACAAAACAAAACAAAATAAAAAGATCCAAGGACAATATAGTAAGGATCTCTTGTAATTTTATCCCTATGGCTTTAATTACTTGTGGATTTCCTCTGTGGATGAATGTGTGGTGGCTTTGTTTCTGTGTGGTAAGATGACACTGTATAAGCTAGCTGGGAATAATGCTCAGTGAAAAGTGTGCTTAGCATGTGTGTGGCCCTGGGCTCATTCTCTGACACCACAAAAATTGAATAATATAAAATGAAGTAAAGTACAAGCTAGGAACTGGATAGATGACTTAGAAGTTAAGAACACCTGTTACTCTAAGAGACGAATTAGTTCCCAGTGCTCAGGTGGTGGCTTACAACAGTCTGTACTAGTTCCAGAGGATCTGGTGCCCTCTTCCGACTTTTGTGGTCATCAGGCCTTCATGTGGTAGGTACACAGACATACTAGCAGGCAAAACACTTATACACATAAAAAGAATGATAAGGTATTATCATTTTTGCTTAATTATACTCTCTGTTTTACAACAGTCTAAAGAAAAATTGATAAACAGTTTAAAGGAAGGCTCCAGTTTTGAAGGCCTAGATAGCAGTACTGCTGGCAGCATGGAGCTTGAAGAACTTCGGCATGAGAAGGAGATGCAAAAGGAGGAGATCCAGAAGCTGAAGGGCCAGATACATCAGCTGAGATCTGAGTTGCAGGTAACACTCAGTGCTTAACATCCCAGACAACCATTTACCCCAACCGCATCAGTTTGAGGGGTTATGGTTCTGTCTTAGGGGGAGCTGGCATATTGAAACAATGTGTTTTGTTCTGCTAGGATGTTAACTACCATGTAAATCTGTATCAACAGCTGTAGGTGTCCTGTCTGTTGAGTAATTGTAACTCCAAGGGGTAACAAACACAGTGAAGTACTTACCACATGCTGCTATGTACATAAAAGCCTGAACTGTACCAGAAAATAGACAGGAATCTTTAAACATATGGATCTTAAATTCTGCCACTTAAAAACAGATTAGTTCAGGGTTTTCTATCAAACCGAAATGTTTCCTGATATTAGCATGTACTCAGAAACTAATTATATAGTTTTATGCATAGTCTAATAAATGCTGTGTTTAATCTAAAAGTAACAATCTGAGATTATGACTCAGTAATAGCTTACTTGCCTATCATGTGGGAGCCCTCAGTCCAATTCCCCTAACACAAAACAGTAAATAGGCCATTTATTCCACATGAAGATGGGGTCTTTGACACAAATAGCATAGGAGGGCTCTGGTGATAGGAGATAAAGTATAGGGTAATGAACATTCTAGTCTTTTTTTTTTTTCTAAGTAGAATCACTTAAATTTGTAAATAAGTATGAATTCCAAAGAATTCAATCACATCTAGTTAGAAATTGTGTAGAAGCTAAATTTATTCATGTCTGTTTGATGCTTTTGGGGTAAGAATATAAAAATGACTTGTTTTTAACATTTCATGCCAGTATCATAAGTGACACTGATCCACCTTCTTTCCTGCGCAAGAAATTTGCAAAATCTGTAGTAGGCTAGTGAAATAAGAAGCTGTTAGTAGAGCTGGCTCAGCATATAAAGGCCCTTCCTGTGCAACCTTGATACCAGCGTTGAATTCCCAGAATTTACGTAAAAATGGAAGGAAAAGCATTCCCTGCTCTTCTTCCCTGAACGGCCATTTTGAAAATCTTGTTGATTCTTAGAAGCGGAGCAAGACTCCTGAGTGGTCTCCTTGTGCGCACCCAAGCACCTGAGGTCTCCAGCTGCCTAGGGTGGCAGTGCTCTCCCCTGCAGAGGGAGAGGACAGCCCAGCACATCCGGTGTCTGAGAAGGAGCCCAAAATGTGGGGCCCCAGGGACTAGAGTGAGGAGGAGAAGAGGAATAAGAAAGAGAAGAGAGTCTCATTGTGGAAGGCGAGAGAGAAAAGAAGAAAGTAGAAAGATTAATGACAAAGCCATTTACAATTGCACAAGGGAAGGGTCAGAAACTTTGTGAAATTGAAAGGATGCATTTCTTTCTGAGTAAGAAAAAAAAAAACAGATGAACTTAGAACTACACACACTGCTTTACAACAGACCAGGCACAGTGTCCTCATTAAAGAACGTATGTCAGTTCAGTGGCTTTCCATTTGAAAAAGACAGTATCCAGTATAAAAAGAAGAAAGGAATGCTGAAAAGTTTAGAAATGCCATGCTAAGGAGCATCTGTGCGACTCTTGATTTAGAGAGATCAGGGGTGAACTGCAAACTAGTGAAGAGGATCTTGAATTTCTTAATGCATCCAAAGCCTTCTGGCAAACCATTGCCAAAATCCAAAAAAACTCTTCAAGCAAAGATAGTAAATAGGAATGGAACAGTTCTGGAACAACAAGAAAGTCAAAGCAAACCAAATGCCCTGAAATTCTGTCAGATGAATCCAGTAGTGACGAAGATGGGAAGAAAAATAAGGAAGAGTCTTCAGAAGATGAAGAGAAAGAAAATGAAGAGGAGCACCCAACCAAAAAAGACAGCTAAAAAAGAAAAAGCAAAATGGAAGCTGCCGCTCAAGGTAACAAATCTGTAGAGAGTGCTAATGTTAAGAAGACAGCAGTGCCAAGAAAAATCAAACCAGTTCCAGAAAGAATCTAAATCTGAAGATAGTTCTGATGATGAACCATTAATTAAAAAACTGCAAAAACCACCTACAGATGAAGAGTTAAAGGAAACAGTGAGGAAATTTCTGGCTGATGCTGACTTGAAAGAAGTCAAAATGAAGCAGATTTACCAAGATTTACATGAAAACTATTCTGCTTACAACTTAACTGAGAAGAAAGATTTCATTAAAACAGTTGTAAAAGAGCTAAAGAGGCCAGATGGCTGGCTCTCAGATTTGAAGATACGATTTATGTCAGCAAAGAGAATGTGTTTTCTTTTTTAAGTCTATTGTTGGTAGAGCTCGCTGCTGACCCTTTTGAGTGTTATGTATTTGAGCTTTCTGACTTAAATTGCATTTCCTTGGAATTTTCAGTTTAGGTCTTGCATGGCAATAATTATTCCTTGTTTTATAGTTTTCTTGGTTTGTTTGTTTATTTGTTTTCAAGACAGGGTTTCTCTGTAGCTTTGGAGTTTATCCTGGAACTCAAAGAGATCCGCCTGCCTCTGCTTTCCGAGTGCTGGGATTAAAGGCGTGCACCACCACCACCTGGCTTTCTTGCTTTTATAGTTGTATATTTTGGATTTCTTTATTGTAAGGTCATAGATTTCTGAACTGTTGTGGATTTTAGTGCACTTAATGTTAGCTTAAGACACTTTTAATCAAAGCAAAAACTGTTTTAAGCAGCATTTATATGTACAGAGACTATTGCAGTATTTAGTATATGAAATATTTTGAATACACCTGTCAGTGAAAACGTAATAGCAGTTTGTTCATCATATTAGAGCACAGATGACGAATTGGAACTTTCTACATATGTGTATATGTCAAGATGTCAGCATGACAGAAATGACAGGTGTTATTTTTGTGTTTTTAAAAACCAATTTGTTGTATGTAATTTCTTTTGTGCAGATCAATTTTTAAACTCATGTAGGTAGGTGTCTTTACACTTGTAACTAAAGAATGTCAGGGTTCATCAGGTAGCATGACAGAGCAGTCAGTTCAGGGGTGACAGCACTGAAGGGAACTGTCCAGTTCTAAGGGGACTGTCCAGTTCTGCTTTGCTCTGAAAATGTCATCAACTTGTGGTATGTTAAGTGTCATAGAAATTTTCTTTTTAAGTTACAAACTCATTGGCCCGTTAGCTCAGGCTTCTTATTAACTCTTATAACTTATATTAGCCCATTATTCTTGCCTATGTTAGCCACATGGCTCATTTCCTTTTTCAGCGAGGCAGTCACATCTTGTTTCTTCTGTGGCTGGGCAAGGACTGCAGAGGAATGGGCTTCCTCCTTCCCAGAATTCCCCTGTTCTCCTTGACCCACCTTTACTTCCTGTCTTGTTGTCCCGCCTATACTTCTTGCCTGGCTACTGGCCAATGAGCGTTTATTTAAAATATTATTGACAGACTATAGACCATTCTACCACACCACTTCCCCCTCTTTTTTTTTTTTTTTTTAAAAAAAGGAAAAAACCCCATAGTCAGTTTTTTTTTTTTTTTTTTGGGGAATGTGGGCATAGTTTTCTAGGCTACTTCCTGCTGGTTTGGGGTGCTGATAGTCTTATGAGGATCTATAAAAATTTAATCCAAGTCCTGATTGGAGTATCCTGTGAGTCTTGATCTCAGCCAGCAGTCTTGAATCTGTTCTGGATGTAGAACTAGAACTCAGACATCTGGGCCATCTGTTCCTACTGGAGATTTCTCAGGTGATCTTCCTTGATAAAACCTGAATTTTCTTAACTCAGAATGAATCCACAACCTCTCATTTTTTTTTTTTTTGCCACGAGGTGTGTTTTATTTTCATCAATCATACAAATAGTTTCCTATAATATCCCAGGGCAAACCGGTGAAATTTGGCAGTTTGATTTGTGTGTGGGGGTCCCCGTTCAGAGACCCACGGGCCAGTAGCATCGGTATGGAGTGCCTGGGTTCACAGTGCAGCTTGTGGCTCGCGTCCATCTTGCAGGTGGCTCTTCCTCCACATCACGAGGGGGTCTTGGAGGTGATGAGGTGGGGTGGGGTAATCCTCCAGTCTGGGCTTTTAGGAAATCTCACTCCTCTTTTCCTGTTCAGTGGTCTCTTTGGTCAGCAGAGTGTTCTCCTGCGTTGGTCTTCTTCAGCTTGGCCTTATTGAAGCTGGTGATTGCCCCCATGTCTGCCATTTTCTTACAACCCATGGAGTCTCGCTCCCAGCTCGCGCTCCAGGTGCTCCCACTCGCCTTGCTGCAGCAAGAGACCCAGCCTCTCATTTTCTATGGAAACAAAAGCAAAGCCTCTTCTCCAAAGTAACATACCTTTTGACTTCAATTTTGAAGTCAAGGTATTTTCAAAATACCTATCTTGTATTAATTCAGCAGCATTTATAGACAAATATCTTTTAGCAGCTGTTGCTCCTTCCTCAGCATTCAAACAATTCAAAGAGAACATAATAACATACAGTATCCAGACTCTCTGTGTGTTTTTCATCTTCACATGGCTTTATTTTAACCTCTATTTTATTTTTAATTTTAATTTTTGGCTTTTTGAGACAGAATTTCTCTGTGTATCTTTGTCCTGGAATTTACTCTGTAGACCAGGCTGTCCTTTAACTTAGAGATCTGCCTGCCTCTGCCTCCCAAGCATTGGAATTAAAGGCATATGCCACCACACCTTGAACTCACCCACAAGTCTGCCTGCCTCTGTCTTCCAAGTGTTGAGATTAAAGGTGTGTGCCACCACACCCAACTACTCTCTCTCTTTTTTTTAAAAGGACTTTAACCTTTTTCTTTTCTCTCCCAAGCCTGCATATATTTTTAAACACACAGTAAACCATTTTTTGTCTTTGAATCTATCTTTACTCTATATCTCTCTTTTTATGACCACACGAGTCTTTAATTTGCTAAGCAATATGGGTAGGATTAAAGCTTTGACGACTGCATCCAGCCTGTTCCTTAACTTTCTGAGATTCCAGGCTCGTATCTGAGGTACCATGTGTTTATTGCCACAACTCTATGGCATTTTAAGGTCCCTGCCACCAACAGAAAGCTTGCAGTCAGCTTTTCATCAACATTATTCAAGTGTTTTGTGGCAGGGCCTCTTTAAAGAGCTGCAAGGTTTTGCAGCTAAAGCTGAGTCAGGAAACCTCTCCTAAATGAGAGCGCTTGCCTCTAGCAAGCAGAGCCCAGCTGAGAAAATGCCGCTATCAATAAGCCATGCTTAACTCTATTCTTTTCTATCTAGAATTACTTCCCAAGCTCTGTCAGGCTTTATGTGGATGCAGTTGCCCACATGTCCATTTGTTGTCTGAAGTTTTTTTTTGTCTTGCCTGATTCCTGCAGTCATTAAGTCCCAAAGAAATCACACAGAGTTTTACATTAGTTATAAACTGATTGGCCCATTATCTCAGTCTTCTTATTAACTCTTATAACTTATATAGCCCATTATTCTTACCTGTGTTAGCCATGTGGCTTAGTACCTTATTCACATCTTGCTTCTTCTGTGGATGGATCAGGACTGCCGTCATAGGGATTTTATATTGAGTATAAACCAAAATCAACACATCAGAGTTTAAAAAACTGGGAGAGGGTGGAAAGGGTAAGCACACTTGGCTTATATATAAGTAAACTGATAGTAACTAGTAACTAAACTTCTTTGACCATTATAATAATTATGATTAAAAGTATCAGCTGTAATACCAGAAGGTGATGTACGGGCAGTGAAGATATCTCTGATTAAAAGTATCAGATTGTAATATTGGCAATATGGGTATTTCTCAAAAACCATACATTAAATTTCTTTGAAGTATTATAGAATGAGGCTGTTTGATTTTAAATTTTGATCAATCAAGTAAATATGGTCTGCCCCAGAATTTAAATTTTGTCTTTGACTGTCTTAATAACCTATTTCTGAATTATAAAAATAAGCTGCTTGACAGAGTGATAATTGATGTACCAACTGAGTGTTTATAATTTTTGCATCAGCCAGGTGGTGGTGGAGCACACCTTTAATCCCAGCACTTGGGAGGCAAAGGCAGGCGGATCTTTGTGAGTTCAAGACCAGTATGGTCTACAAGAGCTAGTTCCAGGACAGGCTCCAAAGCTACAGAGAAACCCTGTCTCAAAAAATAAAAATAAAATAAAAAATATATAATTTTTGCATCATAAATCAGATATATTAAAGTAATGTTGAGCATTAACAGGTATTTTCACATATTTGACTTTAGTATGCATAGAGTAAAATGGAACAAGTAACTAAATGGGAACTAAAAATTGGCCTTTACTTTTAAATAATTTGTTATAAATCTTAGAAATCTTGGCAATAAAAAACAAATTGATGTTTTAAATGTCCTGTAAAAAAAATGGAAGGAAAGAGCTGACTCCACCTTGTCCTCTTACCTACAGATAGATACACATGGTGGCGGGCATACCTACCACCATTCAAAAGCATCATAATAATTTTTTAACTAAAAATAGGTATACAGCTGGATGATGGTATTTAATCCGAGCACTTAGGAGACAGAGGTAAGTGGATTCCTGTGAGTTTGTCGCCAGCCAGGATTACAGAATGAGTTCCAGGACAGCCAGAGCTGTTACACAGTGTGCTGGGATTAAAGGTGTGTACCACCACTCCTGGTTTCCTTTTGAATTTGAAAAAGTAAGAGTAAGAAATATGGGGAGATATGAAATTGGGTAGCCTTAGTAAAGCTGGAAGCAGCTCACATACTAACCTCGGTGAAGTCAGTAGTTATTCTCTCTGTGTGCTGATTAATGGTGCACACACTACCTACAGTGAAACTAATGTAGTGAAGTCTCTTTTGGCATCATACTTCAGGTCTGTGGAAGTGTTCGCTTTTAAATGGAGGCATGAATTGCCTAGCAAACTACCGGTCACTAATAAGCTAGATGTTTGTGGGCCAGACAGCTGTGGCATCCTGGTCATTCTCTCACTCCTAGCCAAATTGCATAGTGAAGATACCTGATTTGATTCCCTTTGGGAGCTGCAGAACCCTGTCTACAGCATGTGATTGTTGTTCAGTATATGTTGAACAGAACTGTTAGTTTTTGTTTTGTGTGCATGATTCTTCTTAGGATGTGGAGGCTCAGCAGGTTAGTGAAGCGGAATCAACAAGAGAACAGTTAGAAGATCTGCAAGACCAGATAACTAGGCAGAAAGCCTCTAAACAAGAGCTGGAGATGGAGCTGGACCGGATGAAACAGGTAAGGAGAGGGACCTCTTCCCAGGAGAGTTGATAACACGGGCTCAAGTATTAGTGATAGGTAGGAGCTTGCCAGTTCCTTTTGCTTTTCCATCCCACCTGCTTTAGTTTGTTTTTTTAATGGTTATTATTATTGTTTATATGCATGATGTGTCAGTATAGGCACATATATGCTATCATCTGTGTGTCATTGCTTGTGGAAGTCAAAGGACAACTTGTGGGATTGGTTTTCTCCTTCCACATTTGCATGGGTTCTAGGTATTGAACTCAGGTTGTCAGGCTTGAATTGTAAGCACCATACTTACCAAGCCTTTTTTGTTGTTGTTTTGTTTTTATTAGGGAGAGTCTCTTGCCTCTGCCTCTCAAGTGCTAGGATTAAAGGCGTGCACCATCACTGCCTGGCATGAATTTTTCTTTAGAACTTATTATGGGAATAAAGAGAAAAACCAAGTAAAGACCTGCAAGGCATGTGTGTTGCAGGCTGTCTTAGGTAATATAAGATTAGTTGTCCTTTCAGAATTGCATTTCAGTTTATTCAAAGAGCTGCTATGCATTAGAGAGCAGCAGTTTTATATACTTGATTTATTGTGGCAGATGTTTATCTGCACCCACTCAAATGCTATTTGTAAAGGATGAAGTGGAGGAGGATAAGCTGACCATAGCTGCGGGCTAATCACTCGTCAGAGATCCCAGATGTAAAGTATTTAATTTTAGGATTAAATGTGTACCTTATTAAGTAAGTTTAGCCTTGAATTTGTAAAGACTAGAACATGGAAGAATTCTTGTAACACTTCTAGTAAATCTTTACTGGGTTGTCAGCCTTGTATTCACCAGCCCTTATTTCATATTTTTAAAAATCATTTATGAACATTTAAATTACTGACAGTATCAATCTTTATCATAAATAACAAATATCTTCTTAAGTTTGTTGTCATGATGAATAGCAATATTCTGTAATAAATCTTACATTCACAAATGATGGTGCAGTCTTTCTCACTGCTGTAAGGTAAGAATAGCTTGTATTTTCTGATGATTTATCCTGTTAGCCTGTATTTCAGAGGCAGTGTTCACAGCATCATGCTGACCTGTTTGCATCAACCCATCCAAATCCGTGCCTGGTCCATTCTGTGTAACCACACATGTGGTTACATGTGGTTACATGTGGCATGAACTGAGTGCTCAATATGAGTCAGTGTCGGGTTTGGGCTCTGGAGATGGCATGGAGCATACTCATTGATTTATTCATGCCTTACACTAGGAATTCCATTACATGGAAGAAGATCTGCATAGAACAAAGAACACACTGCAAAGCAGAATTAAAGATCGAGAGGAAGAAATTCAAAAACTAAGGAACCAGGTAGGAATGAGGGAAGTGTGTGACCAGAGTTGCTTTAGTAAGGCCTTCTCATTCCATGTCCTTCAGGATTTTATGCGAGGTTTTGAGCTGCAATAGATTTTTCATCTTAACACCACTTGAGTCTTCATTTGCAATACACCCTGGCTTTCTTCTGTAGAAGTGGCCCCTTCCTCTGAGCTACGCATCTCCAGACTGCACGACTTCTGATCTCAGTGTGGGCATGCTGATTATCATGCTCATAATTGTGGTTTCTTTTTCCTAACAAAAAACTGACTAATCTTTGTAGTTTCAGTTGGTAGGATATCTCTAAAGTCATGATATTTTTCCTAATTCTGAAAATGTGAAAGAATGTAATATAGTAAATAATATAAAATAATGTAATAAAATACTTTCCACACTTTCAAAACTATTCTGTGGAGTAGGAAAAAAAAAACAGAAAAAAAATAAACCTTAATCATTGTCCCTTTTGTAAAGTTTACAAAAAAAAATTTTTTTTTTTTTTGAGACAGGGTCTCACTTTACTGGTGTGAAACTCACTGTATAGATCAGGCTGGCCTCTCAAGCTCATAGAGATCTGTCAGTTTCTGCCTCCTGAATAATGGAATTAAAGCTTTGAGCCCCCATGACAAGCCTCAAAAAGTTGCTTTTTGATGGGGATAGGCTTAAACTATAAGGCCTAGAAAGAAAATGCCAGCTACCCTTTATGCAGCTTAAAAGAAAAAAGGTTTTCTTTCTTTTCTTTCATTATTTTCTGTTTATTTGTTTGTTTTTGTTTTTCGAGACAGCTTCTCTATGTAACCCTGGCTGTCCTGGAACTTGCTCTGAAGATCATGCTGGCCTCAAACTCAGAGATCCACCTGCTTCTGCCTCCCGAATACTGGGAGGCTAAGAAGAAAGGTTTCTCAGAGCAGGCACAACAGGCACAAGTCATAGGAAAAAAAACTGATAAATTGAATTAATCAAAATTTAAGTTTCTGCTTACAAAAGAAGAAAAAAGGCCGTATGAGAGGAGAACAGTCACTGACTGGGAGAAGAGGCTTCCCGCACCTCCTCAGCCTTCCTCATGCTTCCTCAGACATGTCATACATGGCCCAACTCTGGGAAGCAAACAGCCACCGTAAGGGCAAAAGACTTGAAGAGACCTTTTCCAGAGGGTTAGATGAGTTTGTGAGTAGGTCACAGGGTCACTAGGATGTGTCTCACTTACTCCCAAAACAGGGCTCAGCATTCAGCTGGCTTTTGCACAGTATTAGGGAAATGCCCCCCCCCCCATTTTATTATCTATCTACCTATCTACCTACCTATCTATCTATTTTAAGACAAGGTCTTGCTGTTTAGTCCTGGCTGACCTGGAATGTGTTGTAATCCTTCTACCTCAGTCTCCCAAATTCGGAGCTTGATAGCCGTGAACCACCATTTCTGGCAGGCAGCTGGCGGTTTCTGGTGAAGGTAGCATCTCTCTTCTCTGTGCTCTGGATGTTTACTACAAACACAAAAACACTTGAGGTTTGTATTTATCCATAAGCAGTCCAATTTGGAAACAAACCAGGTTTTCCTGCAGGTGAATGAATAAGTTGTGAGCCAGTATATATTGGGGCTGGAGAAATGGCAGCTCATCCAGAAGACCTGAGAATGAACTTGATTCACAGCATCTACATGATGGCTTAACAGTCTTCTGTAGTTCTAGTTCCAGGGAGTCCAGTACCCTCTTCTGGCCTTCATGACCACTAGGCATGATACGGTATGCAGACATGCATGCCGGCACAATACCCATACACATGAAATAAAATAAAAACAAAAAAATAAAAATGTGTAGAATGATATGGAAGCTTAGCTAAATCTGCTCTGTATTCCCCTGAAAGTCCACTTCCAGGAAACCCAGGAACAGGCAAAAGCAAACTCTGGTGCCAGAATTAAAAGTGGGTTGTGTCTGGTGATGGAAATGCTCTGTTTTGTCCAAAGTTGTTTGGCAAGAGGATCATAGAGCTCATCTTTCAGGGTGCCACACTATTGAACTGTGGATTTGGAATCCCACTTAAGAAGTTTGAACTGTGACTTGTAAACTTGACCATGTCAACTGTAGTAAGAAATGCAGTTTACAGTGTGTCTTCGTGTCATATTTGCATTCATCCTGCAAAACCAGAACAGAAGCTCAGCTTGGTTCCACCTGCCTATAACCTCAGCGTTCTGAGACTGAGGCAGGATGGTCATGAGTTTGAGGCCAACCTGGGCTATGTAGTGAGTTCAGAGCTACAAAAGGAGACTCTGTCTCTTAATAGCAAAGAAGTTAACACAATAATACCCGTATACTGTGTGTTATATACATTCTGGGAAATATTAAATTCTCTATTACATTCTTTAATTGCTGGTGTAGGACCTAGTGATGTGGTTTAAAAATCACTTCTAGCCAGTGAGAAATCTCTACCACTGTAGAGATTTGAAGACCCAGTTCATGTCCTTTTGTCCTTTCTATACCATGCACCATTACGCCTATGAACTGATTAAGTGAACATTTTCCGCTGCAGCTTACCAACAAAACTTTAAGCAACAGCAGCCAGTCGGAGCTAGAAAGCCGACTCCATCAGCTGACAGAGACAGTCATCCAGAAGCAGACCACGATAGAGAACCTCAGCACAGAAAAGAACTCCTTAGTCTTCCAACTGGAGCGCCTGGAGCAGCAGGTGCACTCTGCCTCCACCGGGCCCAGCAGCGGATCCTCCATTAACATGTCTGGAATTGACAGTGGCGAAGGTAACACTGGAAAGAACATGGCAACAAAACATAATTTTGAAAAATTACAGAAAGACCATTTCTACAAGGAATATTCTGTAATGATTCTTTTACTGTGTGAGACCTGGTCCCTGGGCTGTTAGTATAACCCTTAGAAAGATGTATATGGACTAATGCCTCACAGCTGTCAGACCTGGAGAAGTAGGGCCTTGGACTGGGAAGCCTGTTGGAATAATAAGACACTTGACAAGCAAGGCAGGAATTCAGTAGCGTAGAAATTTCAGGACATTTAAAGGAAATATGTATGTTTTCATGATCCCTTAGTAAATGGCTATTAGTGGAAGTCTGTATTAATTTGTATGTTTGTCCATGCACTTTAATAATAACAAAATCTGAAGATTTTTAAGATGCGTATTCAAAATAAGTATATCAGCACCAATATCGATAGGTCAGAATTTTAATCTCGTGACTTCATGAAACCCATATGCAGTCATGGAGCAGATTTCTCAGTTCTTTGATTTTAAAAATTTGAAGAGGATGCCATATATGAAGATCAGTTGTAATGTATGTAGGGTGGCCAGTGGAAAATCCAGTTGAAAAGTGACACGTTATTAAAGTTCCAAGTGGAGCCGGGTGGTGGTGGCACACACCTTTAATCCCAGCACTTTGGAGGCAGAGGCAGATGGATCTTTGTGAGTTCGAGGCCAGCCTGGTCTACAAGAGCTAGTTCCAGGACAGGCTCCAAAACTACAGAGAAACCCTGTCTCGAAAAAACAAAAACAAAACAAACAAAAAAAGTTTCAAATGATGAGAATATGAACTGCAAGGAGGCCTGGAGGAAATGTTCCAAGTAACTGGAAGAGCAGAGGCAAAAGCATTGAGGGGGTATGTCCCTGATGGTTCAGGACCAGGAAGGAGTAAGGCTGAGAATAGTGTAAGGTGAATTCAGAGAACTTGGAGAAGACTGCATAGACCTGCATAAAGACTTCACTCTAAATAAGGTAGGGATCTGATTTGTTCTGTATTGTGATGTCTGGGTGACTCAGACCTGGCATGGTGATGTGGTTCAGTGGTGCAGCATTTGTTAACATGCAAGAGACTGCACCCCCCACCAAAATCTTAAATTTCAAAGGGCTAAGAGCAGGTACAGAGGCCCTGGTGTCCTTGCATTAATTTATGTAAGGGATGGTAGTTTTGGTCAGAGTGGGATTGGTGGGGGATGGAAGGATATGAGAATTTATTTGAAAAGTGAACTGGTAGAGTTTACTGAAAAGCTTGCAAGAAAAGAGTTAAGGATCTTGGCTTGAGTGGATGGAAGGGTGGAATTGTTATATACAGAATGGGAAGACACCAAGAGAAGGAGTTGACCATGGAGAGAAAGAGACTGGAGTCATAGCTGGTACTTGAGTCGGTGTCTTTAGTGACCCAGGAGAAAGATAGTTGGAGTGGGGTGGAGCTGGAGCGCCCATCTAGGAGCCAGCGTTGTCAGTGTCCAGAACCACTGACCTCTCTCAAAGTCAAGGCCCAGGAATGTTGATTCTTGCAAGAATATTGTGAACTTTTTAGTGTCTAGTAAAATTTTGTGGAAATTGAAGCATTTTCTGTAGTTGATCTGTGTTGTAATTTCTTTTACTCTAAGGGCATTGCTTAGAAAGTTGGCCTTGAGAAATTCTTCCTCACACACTTTCAACTCTAGTTTTCTTAGAAAGTCAGTTTTGGTATCAGTATGTTAATCTGTCCTCTTATTTAAACAGGGACACGCCTGCGAAATGTTCCTGTTCTTTTTAATGACACAGAAACTAATCTGGCAGGAATGTATGGAAAAGTTCGCAAAGCTGCTAGCTCCATTGACCAGTTTAGGTAAGCACTGCCACTCAGGATGAGTGATGGCCTCAACTATTTTAATAATGTCTTCAAGGCGGTATAGCCACCCTGAGCCCTTTGGCCTAATATTTATTTTGACCCTAATACTTAAAGTAGCGGTTCCCTTATTCCTTTGTGATACTCCCAAACTGTGAAGTTGTCTTAGGCAGTCTGCCAGTACCTAAGCATTGTTGAACATTTTCAGTCCTGCCTGTCCTCTTCCAACAGACTCTACCAAGAGCAGTAGGTAGATTCACTTCTTTCTTCTCTCTTCCTTCCTTCCTTCCTTCCTTCCTTCCTTCCTTCCTTCCTTCCTTCCTTCTTTTCTTCCTTCCTTTCCTATCCTCTCCTTCCCTCCTTCCCTTCCTTCCTTTCTCTTTTTTTTATTTTTCAAGACAAGGTTTCTTTGTAATCCTGGCTGTCCTGGAATTCACTCTTAGACAAGACTGGCCTCGAACTCAGAGATCCACCTGTCTTTGCCTCCCAGCGCTAGGATTAAAGGCGTTTGCCACCATGCATGGTTGAAGCTGTTAACACTCACTGAAACCAGACCCAGCACTAAGGAGACAGGATTGTTTGAGCTTGTGAGATCAAGACCAGCTTGGGTCATATATTGAGACTTCCTCAGAACAGCTCACTGAAAAAGTGTCCTTGTGGTGTCTCATTCAGTACTTCATTGTGGGTTTGAAGATGCTCAATATAGAGCTGAACAGTACTCCCTATAACTTGTTTTATGTATGCCCATAAGTAATATTTAGAATTTATGTTATGTATTTACATGCAGACGTTTTATGCTTACAAGCAAGCATCCACTTTTCTTTCTTTTTTCTTTTTCTTCTTCTTTTTTTTTTTGGTTTTTCAAGACAATGTTTTTCAGTAGCTATGAAGCCAGTCCTGTAGAGCTATGTAGACCAGGCCGACCTCGAACTCACAGAGATCCTCCTGCCTCTGGCTCCCAAGTACTGGGATTAAAGGCATGCACCACCACTGCCCAGCACAAGCATCCACTTTATAAGAAAATATTTTAACAGTTTACCTAGAACCTTAATGAATTCCTTTCTGAATCAGAATAAAGCTGTTCTGTTTTGTTTTTTTAATTATATAACTTTATTTATTGAAAGAATATTTACTTTTAATATTTTTAGACTTATTTTATATGTATGAATGCTATATCTACATGTACACCTGCAGGCCAGAAGAGGGTGGCAGATCTTATTACAGATAGTTGTGAGTCACTATGTGGTTGCTGGGAATTGAACTTAGGACCTCTAGAAGAGCACCCAGTACTCTTAACTGCTGAGCCATCTCTTTAGTTCCCTATGCCGTGGTGTTATAAAGGAAGGAAGGAAGGAAGGAAGGAAGAGAATAGCTGGGTGGTGGTGCACGCCTTTTACTCTAGAGGCAGAGGCAGGCAGATCTCTGTGATTTCAAGGTCAGCCTGGTTTACAAAATGAGTTCCAGGACAGCCAGAGAAACCTTGTCTCAAAAAGAGAGACAGAGACAGTTCTGAAACCACAGGACTTTAGTCACTGTCTGAATAAAGCACATGTGTTCAGCATAGCACCTGTAGAAAACTTCCCTGCGGTGTGAGCACTAGTGACAGTAAGAGAAAGGAAAGGCGTTTTCCTGGTACACACACATCGTGATACGGAGCAGCCTGCAAAGAGCTGTGAGCAATGAGGGTAGATATCACACTGCTTCTGCCACATTCATGCAGGTGTCTGCGTGAGTTTGTTTTTTTCTGTTTTGTTTGTTTGAGATAGGGTCTCACTTTGTAGGTCTGGCCTGGAACTCACTGTGTAGTTCAGGCTGGCTTCAAACTCACAGAGATCTGCCCGCTGGTGCTAAGATTAAAGGTGCATACCACCACACCTGGCCCTCCCTGAATTCCTATGGTTTAGTCCTCTTGGGAAAATGTATCTATGCAGAAGTTTTTAGATCAACATTCCCAAGTAAATGCTTATACTGAAGTTTTAATAGCTAACTTCAAATAACAATTGAGGTATCTTTTGCCTTTCCTGTGTGATCATTTTATGTGATCATGTGAGTCTACAATAAAAATTTCCTCTGTGGTAGTCACAGGAATAGTGTGAATGAGTGATTTTTAAAAGACATCAGCTAGAGTGGGTGGTGGTAGTACACATATTTAATCCCAACACTTGGGAGGCAGAGGCACGTGAACTTCTGTGAGTTCAAGGCCAGACTGGTCAACAAAGCAAGTTTCAGGATAGTCAGGGCTAAGGAAAGTGGAAAGCTGTCTCAAAAAAACAAAAACAAAAACAAAACAAAACAAAACAAACAAAAACATTAGATATTAGCCTGACAGTGGTAATACGTGTCTTTAATCTCAACACTCAGGAGGCAAAGGCAGGTGAATCTCTGAGTTTGAGGCCAGCCTAGTCTACAAAGGGAGTTCTAGGACAGCCATGGATGTTACACAGAGAAATCCTGTTTCGAAACAAAACAAACACATACACAAAAGGATGTCAGCTCAAGAAGATTTGCTTTGAGTATAATTCCTTTTTTCTTACCTGTTTGCACAGTATCCGCCTGGGAATTTTTCTCCGAAGATACCCCATAGCACGAGTGTTTGTAATTATCTATATGGTGAGTAAATTTATTTGAAAAAGTAATGTACACTTGATTTCTGTTGTTTTGGCTGCTAATCTTACTCATATTTTACTAATTAACTTTGAAAGAGAATAGAACTCATTTTTGATAATTGAACTTTTCTTAAGTTAGCCATTTATTATGTTGAGAACATAAATTGCTCAGAGGCTTTTCCTGAAGATAAAGTTAACTGTAATGTAGTTTAACAGTCATCTTCATTTTTAAGCCTAATGAAAAAATACAATAAAACAGCTGATTTCATTTTTATCTTAATGCTGTAAAGTTGCTTTGATTATTTTCATGTGTTTTACTTAATTTTTCTAGAAGGATCTCAAGGCTGATTTGTTTCCTTCTGAGCTGTTTAGTTGCACAGAACCAGCTGCAGTAGTTGGGTGCTGGTTCATGTGTGCTGTGCTGACAAGCCGCTCACTGTCCTAAGTGGGGCAGCTCTAAGAGGTTAGGCTGACTTAAGGGCCTACTCTGAAAAGAAATTTCTATGTGATCCACTAGAGGGAAGAGTTATTCCTCAAATAAAAAGGTTTAGCAAAGGTGGATGGTTGGGGAGGAAGAAAAACAGGAAAGGCATCAGAAAGGATTCAAAGTGCACCGCACAGGGGGCCAACTGTCCAGGCACCTGCCACCATGAGTGTTGTGGGTACCAGTCGGCATTAGATGCTGTGTGTGCTGCCTACAGAATTTACACATCCCAACTAATGAAACCTCATGTCATTCATACTGTCCAGAGGGAGCCAGAAGTTTGTCACAAATTCAGCCTCTGCCACTGATTCATTGCTCCTGTCAAGGGTACTTTCCCATCTCTTCACCAAAGCTGGCTAAACTGTCTCAGATCACCAGTCATTAACTTTCTCACCAGGACTTGGCAGCCAACACCTGTCTGCTTTCCCAGCTCTGCACAGTTACCTGCTTGGTTGTTCTGCAGATGCATGCGAGTCACGAGTGTTTGGTGTTCAGACGAACTCTCCTCTCAACTAGGAGATCTGCAGTCTGCAGCTCTCTGTTCCTGAGTTCATTGGCTCCTTTCATCAGCCAGTGTACATGTATTGAGCCCCTGCTGTGTTTCCAACTCTATCCTAGAGGGTACAAAGACAAGGCATGGTCCCTGTTCTCCCTGCACAGTCCTTAGACAGAGACTGATTGATTGGCTGACATGAATTGTTTTTCCTCCCTCTAGGCTTTGCTTCACCTCTGGGTCATGATTGTCCTGCTGACTTACTCACCAGAAATGCACCATGACCAACCGTATGGCAAATGAACTGAGCCATTGATTCCCAAATGTGCCTGCCATTGTCCAGAGCTGGGATCTGCAGAAAGACCAACACCTGAGACTGCTTGGAATAGTGCACAAGATGGTTTCATGGTGGAAAGCTTTTAATTTTAAGTTATTACTCTGGTGTCTGACTCTCCCTTATTTTCATGAGAGTCTCTGAATGCAGACAGTAATTTGACAAATTCAGCTCTGCTTTTTCTGAGTACAATTGCCCTAGATATGGAGAGAGAGAGACCTGGGGTGGTTGTTCTGTAGAGACCTTTCTATATTTTAGGTGACACTGATTATGGGTTATAATCAGGGAAACTAATTGTATTTAAGAATAAAAATAAAAAGATTTCTTTTTAATAACTTAGTGTGCTTTATATTTTGATATATTTAACTGCAAATATTTAATTTTTACATATTAGATTCCTGATTGGTATAACTCTTTTTAAATACATAAATAAATTTCACTGTGCATTTTTCTTTTAAATAATGATTTTCATCCCTGTTTAAAGAAGACCTCTCCAATAGTTAGTAATGAGTGGGGCTGGAAGTCACAGCCACGGTCACTAAGTGACAGCAGTGGTTCCGTGCTGCACTCCTCTCTGCCTCTGTGTTGTCTTGCTTTTCCCCAGCATTTATCTCAGGGTCAGTTCATGGGTGTTGTAGCCCCTGCTTAGCCATGTGTGAGATGTCTGTTTACCAACACTATAGCTGGATACTATAGTTAACTTTTGAAAGGGGACATTTTCTGTATGACCAGCATAATCTTTGAATTGTCTTCCTCTTCATCCTTGTGTCCAAGAGTCACATGTGCTTTGTCACCCTGGTCCTGGTGATCTTTCTGTATGTACTTACTATACATGGTTCTTGGACAGTGAGTGGGAACAGACCCCTTCTTGGGTCACTTGATGCCAATTGAAAATTGGTGACACTATTGCCATGACTTGAACTGGCCTTCAGGGAGCAGAAAGCCCTTGCACATTATGGGATGCTTCTTTCCTATTTCTTGCAGTCAAATCAAGTTTTTGAGGTCATATTAGGTATGATTGGGCTTTTGTTTTCAGTGTGGCAGAAATGAAAGAGCAGGTGTTTCACATCATATAAATGGGGGCTTGGCATGGAGTTTGGCACTGAATCTCAGAGATGGATAGCAGGAGCCTTATTGGGGATGAGGCATCACAGTCTGAACTGTGGAGTCAGGTCTATCTCCAACACGGAAGGGAAAAGTTCAGTCTTGTTAATGGATTTTAAGATTTTTTTTCTCCTAATTTGGAAACATTTCTGGAAAATGATTAAAACCAGGTTCCACCCTTAAAATGGAAAACAGCACATGTTCGTTGCTTATGTTGCCGGACTTCCCATCTTTGTGTCCTCCTGGCTTTTGTGGTGACATCTGTGAGTCTTTTGTCCACTCTGCACATTCTTGGCTTTGGCGGTGTTTGACTAAGTATTTCCGGGATTGTGGCTCTGCCATCACTTGTCTTTAATTGAGTTGCAGACTCATTACTCTTGACCACTCACAAACTGGGCAAGGGAATACGAAACTCTGACCTCATTAGAGGGCTCGCAGGAAGGCCAGGTCAGTGGAGTCTCTCTAGGTACAGTGTATGTATTCAAAGGGATTTCAGACATGCACAGAGTTCTTGGACTGCTCTGTATTGATAGGTGTCAGTTGAGAAACAAGATTTAAAAAATTCCCTTGCAAATTGCTGTGTGGTGGTGGTACACACTTTTAATCCCAGCATTTGGGAAGTAGAAGCAGGCGAATCTCAGTGAGCTCAAGGCCAGCCTGGTCTACATAGTAAGTTCTAGGACAGCCAGGACTGTTTCACAGAGAAACCCTGTCAAAAAAACAAACAAAACTTCCCTTTCTAGACATTGTCCTTTATGACAACCACCATTTTTACTGCCACCTAACAAAATTTTTTGAGGGAAGACTTTTGTTAGGTTTGATTTGGTTTTGGAAACAGGGTTTTTTCTGTGTAACAGTCTTGGAACTTGCTTTGTAGACCAGGCTGGCCTCAAACTCACAGACATCTGCCTGCCTCTGCCTCCTGCGTGCTGGGATCAAGGACATGTGCCACTACCACCCACCTCCAAGGAAAGAACTTCAAACACATGGCAGAGACTTATCTCTCATTGGGGAATAGAATGTGAAGGGCCCAGAGTCCAGCCATTTGCCCAGTTTGCCTGTGGAGTAGGGCACACTCCTTAGACCTCACTGGGCTCCAGTCCTCCGTTGCCAGGGGCAACTTAGTGCTGGAAGCTGCAGAGTGAACCTCAGTGTGGGTACAAAGGAAGGAGCTGGTGATACCTGAGAGTCAAGGACCAATGGCCCAAGATGTTTGAGGCTGTGATTGGCCTTGAGAAACCTGATGGAGAAACAATGGATTTTTCTCCACTTCAGTCTCTTAGCACTAAGGAATGATCTCTCTGAGGAGAAAGGCGAATTGCACCAGTGGCTAGCAGCCAGTGTACCACAGAACTGTATAGCAGAACCCTCAAAACCAGCCCGACCTGCCATAGATAGCTACTTCTGTTAAGGTTTGTATGTAAACTCCATAGCTCTTGACCCCCAGCTGGTGGCACTGTAGAGGTCATACCTGACTGGCAGAAGTCTGCTACGAGGGGCAGGCCTTGGGATACAGACTAACCCCACTTCTCTGTCTTCCTAATCTGCTAGGTAGAGAGCAAATAGCTCATGGCTGCATGAACCCTGCCATGCCTTCCCTTCATGATGAATGGTACTTCTCAAACCACAAGTCAGAATAGCCTTTCCAGTTATTCCTTTCAGGATATATATATATATATATATATATATATAATCCAATATAATATATATGATCAGAAGGAAGAGTTTATGTTGGCTGAGGTTTCTGTCCCACTTGGTCCTGTAGCCGTTTCAGTCCCAAAGAAACACACAGAGGTCTGCATTAATTATAAACTGATTGGCCTGTTAGCTCAGGCTTCTTATAACTCTTATAACTTATTTTTTTCTTATAACTTATATTAGTCCATAATTCTTGTCTATGTTAGCCATCTGACTTAGTAGCTTTCATCAGCGAGGCATTCTCATCTTGCTTCCTCTGCGACCAGGTTACGACTGCAAACTGAATCTTTTCTCTTCCCAGAATTCTCCTGTTCTCCTACGCCCGCCCGCCTCTACTTCCTGCCTGGTGGTTCCCTCCATTCTTCCTCTCTGGCTACTAGCCAATCAGCATTTTATTAAACAAGTACAAGAAACACATCTTTACAGGGTAAAACCATTGTCCCACAGCAAGTTTATTTGGGAATTTGGATCCAAAGGGCTAGATGTCTAGATGTTCATAAATAGGTGAAAGTGTGGCACCACATGAATAGAAGAGAGCAGGAAGTAGAGTAAGGTTATAAACCCTCAATCTCATCCACAGTGCTGTACTTCCAATGTCCATGACCTTCCTAAATAGCACTAGGACCAAGTGTTCACATGTGTGAGTCTATGGGGGTGACATGTCTTGTCCAGGCTACACTCTGCCCTTCATCCCAGCAGGTTCATGGCCGTATCATAAGGCAAAATGCAGCTGGTCTGACTTCAAATGTCCTGGCCTTTAACAATCTTAATATGGTTCAAAAACTCAATCTCTTCCATATAATATATTCTGATTATATTCTCAATCCCTCAAGTCCTCTCAGTTCCTTGATAACTGTAGGGATGGGGAACCAGTTTTCAATGGAGTGACATGGGGCATATCAACCTATAGACAGAAGTTTCTGTCTCATCTGGACCCGCAGCCATTCAGTCCCAAATAAACACACAGAAGCTTGTATTAATTAAAAACTGTTTGACCTATTGCTCAGGGTTATTACTAACTACCTTTTACAACTTAGCACATAATTCTTATCTATGTTTAGCCATGTGGCTTAGTACCTTTTCTCATTAAGGCATTCTCATCTTGCTTCCTCTGTGTCTTTGCCTTTCTTCTTCCAAGAATGCTCCTAGTCTGATTTCGCTGCCTATACTTCCTGCCTGGATACTGGTCAGTCAGCATTTTGTTAAACCAGTATGAATGACAACTCTTTACAGTGTACAAAGCATTATCCCACAGCATCAACCACTTCAGGCAAGCCCCTTGCTCAGGAGTAAGTAGTGTGCCGCCACAAATTAGACTCCATGTTTTTGTTTGATGCTTGTTTGTATTTTTTTAATTTATTTGATTTTCCTTTTTTAAAAAGAAAACAAACTATCTTTTTCTTTTTACATACCAGTCCCAATTCTCTCTCCCTCTCCTCCCATTCCCTCCACCTATCCCTCTACCCCACTCCCCATCCACTCCTCAGAGAGGGTAAGGCACATTGCTCTGGGGAAGGTCCAATGTCCCCACTACTATATCTAGACTGAGCAAGGTATTCATCCAAAGAGAATAACTTCCCTAAAAGTCAGTACAAGCAGTAGGTGTAAATCCTGGTGCCACTGCCAGGGGCCCCACAGTCTGCCCCAGCTATACAACTGTCACCCACATTCAGAAGGACTAGTTTGGTCCTATGCTGGTTCCTTCCTTGTCCGGCTGGAGTTGGTGAGCTCCCATTAGCTCAGGTAGACTGTTTAGGTGGACATCCCCATCATGGTTTTGTTTGTTTGTATTTTTAAAAGCGAAAAAGATCTGGAATAATTTTCTTTTAAATGGTAGTAAGGCTATAATTTGAATTTATGAATGTTTTGTGTCCCAGCCATTTCTCAGATGTAGAATGTGAACAAAAGTCTCTGCCATCAGGGATTTTACAGCTAAGTGGGGAAGGCAAATTATAACTGTCATTTAGAGTTAAGTCACCGAATAGAGGAAAATGGGCTATGGGTATGAAGTGAACAGCAGGGAGGTGGTGCTTTTGTGGTAGCTGGGGAAAGAAGGATATGGGGTGGTCTTTCTCCACTGGAGGGTCAGTGGGCAAAACATCTGGATGGGTGCACACAGTATGCTCAGAACCACAAGGAGCCAGTGTGGCCAGGGCAGAACTGGAGCGGGGGCTTGCAGAGCCAGGCCAAGGGACTGTGGGCCATGGGAAGGACTTGGGATTTAAAAACCTCTTTTCGTGTCGCATAGTGATCCTTTGTCCTCTGAACAGAGAGAACCTTCAGCAATCCGTGTTTGTCTGGGGCCTGGAGATTACAGTTACCCAGTGTGAGCATCCCCAGGGTGGTGATTGGTTGGCTGAGATGAAGACAGCCACACCTTTATCTCTGCCCACGTGTGTTTAACCAGAAAGGCTAAATGTACTGGACTTTTCATCGGTGTGACAGAAAAGCTGCACAAGCAGCTTCGGGGGTGGGGATTTATTTTGGGTCACAGTTTGAGAAGGATCAGTGCATGGTGGGGAAGAATGGAGCA